CCTTTGTTACCTCTGTCCTCTAAATTGATTCATAACGAAGAGCTCAAGTTGATTTGGAGTCGAAGCTCTCAGCTCTAAAGATGACAAAGAGGCCGCCTTTCCTTTGTTACCTCTGTCCTCTAAATTGTTATCTGCTTAAGAAGCAATATATTACAATTATTGGAAACTTTACAATAATCTTTTTTCTTTCAATATGCAAATTGAAATCAATCGATTTCGATAAGTACACGAAATCGGGTTCATTTCCAGCATCTTTCCTTGTAAATATCACCGTTGATGTAATCAAGCTCCCGAATTGGAATTTTCGACTGACCTTCACTGATCCGGAAAATGGAGAGTGGCTAGCCGAGTTAGTTCCAAAAACCAAAAAAATATTGCTAACTAGGGAAAGGCACGAGCTTCCTGTGAGCTTTCGTTTCCGAATCACATACATTTTACTAAATCGAGCATGGAGATTCAGAATCTCAAATCAAAATCTCCCAAATAAACTTGCAAACGCGTAAAAATGGAATTGAAATTTCGAAGATCAACTTTAAAGGGCACTTTTCAATTCCTTACTACCTAGGCTGTCCCACTAGGCCCACTAGGTGGCCTAGATCGGCCTAGTCAATTTTTTTGCAATGCTTTCAAGTCCTTTAGGACTTGAAAGCATTGCAAAAAAATTGACTTGAACGTTTAAAGGGCGCTTTTCAATTCGTGAAATCTGGGCACCGATCTAGGCCACCTAGTGGGCCTAGTGGGACAGCCTAGGTAGTAAGGAATTGAAAAGTGCCCTTTAAAGTTGATCTTCAAAATTTCAATTCCATTTTTACGCGTTTCCAAGTTTTTTTGGGAGATTTTGATTTGAGATTCTGAATCTCCATACTCGATTTCGTAAGATGTAATCCGGAATCGTAATCCGGAGACGAAAGCTCACAGGAAGTTCATGCCTTTCCCTAGTAAGCTCAAAAAAAACAAGTGTTTCTTTTTCAGTTTACAATACCCACCATACACCGTATCAGTCACCAAAGTGAACGGCGTTGAGGTGCTTGAAGTTTCTCTTTTCAAAAAAAATTGTTAAAGATTTATGTGTTTCAGATTATGTGGTGGACTTTGGATGACTCTTTGTCGACGGATGGACTTTTTGTGAAAATTCAGGTCACAAAGACAGATAGATATCGAGAGATTTTTCCGAATGAAATGAATGAAACATTTCCCCCAACTCCTCCGATTCGAGCTTCTATTGGATGCGGACTCTTTCAAGCTTTTTCGTTTTTTCACCTGTTTTGGTGTTTTCTTTGTGTGCTTTTCGTTAATTGAATGTGATTTTAGCTAAAAATATTTTGTGATTCAACTCTCGAAAGTTTTCAATGAAAAAATGAATGAATAAATAGAAATGTTGCAGAATGAAGATGAGGTAATGAGTAAGGCAGTAATGAGGAATTCAATTGCTTATGGCGTACGAAACGTTTGTGAATTCAAGGACTTTAAAATTAACTCATTATAAATCAATAATTAAAATAATTCAAAATATTCGAATCGACTCCGACGGTCGCAAAAGCTATTATTTAAAAAACGTCTTTTTCTTGCTGATGTGAATCTGAGGATGAGAAACTTCGATTGTCACTATTCGATTGTCTCTAGAGCTCACTTGAATCTCACTGTAGATTGAGAAGATTGAGATTGAGAGAAGATTGAGATTGAGAGAAGATTGAGAGAAGTGTAGATGGAGAGAAGTGGCCGAGTGAGGTTTGAGTCTCTGTCGAAATTGAAGTAAATGCTAGCAAAGACTTGGTTCTTTGAAGGTGCAAAAACTTATGGACATCAAATTTTCGGGGGATTCGTCTCGTTTCCATCAACACAAATATTTTTAAATCAACGAAATGTGCAAGCTTTCAAAAGAGTCGCCCATGAAAGCGTTTCACTCACACAAAAGGCTCATGCTCGTCGAAATCACTTTCTCGAGCGGCTTTCTTGTTACTAGAGAAATAAGGCATGAAGGGAAACAGAGGGAAACAGCCCGCATAATAGGACGAATGATCGGAAATCGATTGACTATTGACTGTCGATTGACTTGACGATTGATTGACGATTGACTTTCATCAATTGAAGTGCCTCAATCACCATTAATTTCTTCAGAATCTTCTTTTTGAGAAGAGATGGCGAATAAGGGAAACTTTTGACACTTTTCAAGGATTGCCTAGTTCTTTCGGACTCTTAAAATTTCTATTTTCTAAGAAAATTTCTTTAAAACCTATAAGCCAAATATTTCCTAGCTTGTTACTGTAAAAACCCCACCATTTCAATGATAATCAAATTTCAGAGCTGTCTATGATCGCTGAAAGATAGCTCAGAGGCGTTACGAAAAGCTGGACCGATTGAGAAAGGTGATGTTTCAAGGTAATTAAAAAGTTAATGCTTGCAAAAAATTCAATTCAATAAAAAAATTCGTGTTTCAATTGAGTTGAAATGTGAAAAATTCGAAATAAAAAAGATGAGTTTCAAAATTTTTAAAAAGAAATTTATAAAAAAAGAGACAATCCCACCCACCTCCCTATTAGGTTGTCCCATAAAAAATTGCGGTTTTTCAGAAATTTCTTTTTTCAACAAAAAATAAAAAGTAACAACGTAGATCATACGATATATATTCCATGATTATTGTAGACATTTAACCAACGTTTTGGTAACTTTTCAAGTCCTCGCTTGTAAAAATCGGGTTGGCGTGAATGAAAGTAGTCCTCCAATTCGTTCTCGAGGTCACCTTGGTTGTTGAATTGCTTGCCTCGAAGGAAATGCTTTAGCGACAAAAATAACTAGTAATCAGAAGGAGCAATATCCGGGCTATAAGGGGGATGTGAAAGTACATTCCAGTGCAAATTGTTTTCCATAAAATTCTTCGATTTGCTCGATTTGTGAGAAGAAGCGTTGTCTTCAAGCACAAAAACGGGGCCATTCCATTCATTCTGATAGAGCAATCGGAGAATTTTCTGCTCAACTTGTTGCATATGGCGTCTATAAACATTACTTTTAAAAGTTTGACCCTTCTGGAGTAGCTCCCAAAAAAGTATGCCAGAGGAACACCAATAGACACACAGAAGTCGCTTATTTCCATGAATATTTCGTCTTGGCACCACTTTTCCCAAACGACCTTTTCCCAACCATTGTCGTTTCAACACTCGACTATCAGAGAATATCCACGTTTGATCATGAGTCACTATATTGGAAAGAGGAAGCCGACCGCATCGATATTCGTTCAGTAGTTGACGGCATGACCGCGCTCTTTGGTCCTTAATCGAATTGTTCAGTTGATAAGGGATTTGCCGCTGTTTCAACCACTTTCTTCCGGTTTTTTTGAGCCAACGCCATACTGTCATTCTTCCGCAATAGTCTTGTGCCAAAATCCGAGTCGATCCTTCGAGATTTTGCCGAAGTCGGCGCCTCAACGTCTGTCGATTCACTTTTCTGGGATGACCACTTCCTCGCTTTCGTGTGAGCCGGATGTCACCTTTTCGGAATTTCTGAAACCACCATTGTGCAGTCCTTTCCTTGACGATTGTTGATCCATAAAAGAATTGATTTCTCGCGCTGCTTTGACCGTCGAAATCCTCCTCAAATATCGTTGATACAGATGCTGATGGATTTCTTCACGAGACGGCCCTAAGATGACAACAAGTTTTACCAGTGCCGTCTCAAAACCTTTTTTCATCTTGGGGGAGGTCTTATGCGCTATGCACCCTGTTTAACGGACATTCTCATCTCGGAAAATTTAACGGACGTTCTCTGAGGATTTGGTTACGGGTACGGACAAACCCTGCCTGATATATATCACGTCACCAAGAACATCAAGCTGCACGCAACGCACGGTTTTTCCTTTCTATTTCTATTAAATAGCACATAAGACCTCCCCCCAAGATGGCAACAGGCTCGTCCAACCACTCAGTTGACAACCTTGTTGTCATCTTGGGGGGAGGTCTTATGCGCTATTTTCTCTTAACGATATATACAAGCAATACTTGGATAATACTTGAGTTCGTGCCTTTCCCTAATCAGTTGTCTGTAGATCATGAGGAGGTATACCCAATAATATACTCAAAAAGCTCCCCTTCGTTATCAGCAAAGAGTTGTTTGTTTCTTTACAGTTGGTTGTTTAGTGTGCACAATGAGAGTTGAAAGAGATTTGCTTTGAGTTTCGAGCTATTTACTTCACCCGAATCGCCAAAATTTTCAAAAAGAAATTTGTAAAAAAAGAGACAATACCTCTCCCCAAGATGACAACAAGTTTTACCAGTGCCAAGTTTTACCAATGTCAGTTTTAATATGTGCTTATTTGTATGTGGGTGGGCTAAACAAATTTTTTGCAGTTTTCACATTCGGAATCACAACAAATCGCCAAAAAAAAAACTAGAAGAATAGGATTCAGAGCGCATAAGACCTCTCCCCAAGATGACAACAAGTTTTACCGTCTCAAAACCTTTTGTCATCTTGGGGGGAGGTCTTATGCGCTATTTTCCCTAATCGATCTATACAAGCTATTCATTTTAGACCTTTCACAGACATCAACGTCTAACAACACGGGGACTTTTCGGAGTTTCTAAGCTAACTTTGATAAGTTTTTAATTTACAAAAACAAATTTAGAAAATAAATGGTGAGAAAAGACAAAAACTTATCCGACAATGAAATCACAAAAACGAGAACAAATTTTTTTTTTGTTTGTAATGAGTCAGAGATTAAAACAGTGGCTAAGGGTGAAAGAAAAATTTCAAAAATATCGTAATCCCAATCGTAATGCTCCTCTCAGCTATTCCATATTCTAAAATGCACCAATCTCCGCCAAAACTACTGTAATCCAACTGCTAGTTTTCCCTGGATCAGCCCAATTTTGAAATCATCCACTGAGCCTTATGATTTCTCATCGAATATGACTAAAATTCGGCTGATCGAATGAAAAATGGCGAGTGGATTACGGTGGCTCAACGTGAGGTGTCTTTCAGAAAACGGATTAGCCGTTACAGTATCTTTAAGTCTCTAAGATGGTGACTTGTGAGTTGTTGACGGGCGTTGGCGGCTCATTCGTACGATATTTCACCCCATCCATCGACAACTTCTCGCCACGATCCCTTCCGAGAGCCTTGCCTGAAAATTTCCTTCTTGAAAATCGATTTGTTTTTTCTTTCTAGCTGCTTTTCTTTTGTTAGAACATCCTTATCGTTATCTCCATCCATCTGCAAAAGCTTTCAGATGTGAACTTTTTGTTTTTCAATATAATTTTGAACAGGATTACTAAGTTCTTGAGCTTAATGATCATTTTTGGACACTTGCAACTTTGGTGTCAATTTTTTGTGTTTCAACTTTAAGCAAGTGAAACGTTATTTTTTCGAAATAATGGTCTCGGGACACCCGGAAATAATTAGTTGGATACATCTTTTTAGCATGGGATTGGGCTATGAAAAGTCTTGGTGAGATGCGCAAACATATAGGAATTAAAGTCGACTTACTTCAGTATTAGTGCCCTTCACTTTGAAATCCAAACTTTTTCGCTACAGAATCTTTTACAATGTTTAACACTCTCAAATCAAATAAACATCCCCTTTCTGGCGCACTCAACCCTCCCTTCCATCTCCCTCGTTTCTTTGAGAGGAAAATGGAAGAATTAAGTGCACCAGAAAGGGGATGTTTACGAGATTTGAGGAGCACACTGCAAAGGAAGATTCAAAAACGTCAACCGATGTGTAGAGGTTTCAAAAACGCCGACAACAAATTCAAAAAAGACACCAACTATTGCAGTACATTCAGCTTTGAATCTTTGCTTTTAAACGTTGCTTATACAATGTACAAAATCCCTGAAATCTTCCCCAACTCACAAATCAAATATTTGGCCGCTTGGCGATAGTTCGGCTCCACGCAAAACATTGAAATTGTGTTGATGAGTCCGGAGATGGAGACGAGGAAAAAGGCGGATTCGATCAGTTCTGAAGGGAAACTTTTAGAGGTAATCGAAAGATATAAAAAAGTGAATAGATTGAATAGAAATAGAGACAAGATTACGATAGAAAGGGGAAAGGGGGCACTTTTTAGAAAAGATTTCACCTTGTGCATTCCAGATGTGCACGAAAATGACCAATCCAATGAAAATCCCGGGTTTCAACAGAGTTCCCATCATGACGGCAAGCTAAAGCTAAGCTATATAGCGAATTGCTAGCCGATAAAGCTTTTCGCAAAGGTTACGGTAGTTTTACTGCACAGAATGAGCATTACACGTTTTGAGACATCGAGCCATATTTTGTAAGTTTCAAATTTGGGGGCTTTTTGTTAGTGTTGCTAATATTAGTTGCTGGAATGGTTCTTTATTTCTCCAAAAGACAAACAAAAGACAATAAAAGACCAAAATGCGATTTAACTAGATCTAATTAGTAAATCAGATTTGAAAAACTCAAAAAAATTTCCCTATTGATTACTACTTTTAATTCAAAATTCTGAAGATGAAGGATTTTTTTTACAAGTTTCAAAGTTAGCTTCTTTTCGTTAGAGGTGATAATCCTAATGAAACGATGCTATGGTCATGTTTGAATCAATTATTTCAAATTCTAAAGCATTCTAAAGCATTCTAAAGCATAACTCAATTTGTTTCATCTTCATTTTCCCTTTGAAACGAGCTATAATCTCGTTTGCTTTTGATTTGATTGATTGCTTTGATTTGCTGCATTGTTTTTTGAATCAGTTTCTTGATCTTCACAAATTAAGTAGCAATTTGGCTTTTGTAAGGCCAAAATAGATTTGGTAAAAGTATTTCTGCTAATAATTTCACTGCATAAGGTTTAAAAAAGCGTGTAAACCAGATAATTTACCAAATCTGATCTCAGTTTTGAAAGAGGTGAAACATCTAAACATTCGAGTTTTAATTTAGCATGCTGACCGTAAGCTGAATAAGGTTTTATAAGTTTCTAAAAAAGCCACTTTTTGCTACAGAAATTTCCAAATTTCATTTAAAATCTTGAAGTTTCAAGTTAGAGGGCTTCCAGAAAAGTTTTTGAACTCTAGTTTCTAGAGGTTTCTACATCAAAAAATAGGTACAGTAATGGACAATGAAATATCAGATTTGAAAAACGATCGTCATTTTAAGAAGCTACTGATTAAACAATAATAATAATAATAATAATACAAAGAAAGAACTAAGCATGAAGGTTTCTTTTCTAAGGGCTGAATTGGATATTATTGGATATTAAAATATAAAATATCAAAATGTTTAAAGTTTTGAGAATTTTATGGCATAAATTATCTTAAGCTCGACAGAATTTAAATATCTAGTCTATGTTATAAATTCGATCCAAATAAGCTTCGATTCGATCCGAAGATCCGCAACGGTTACAGGTACAGTAATGGACAATCAAATATGATATTTGAAAAACGATCGTCATTTTCGCGCATCTGTAACTCCCTTGTCTTTGAGTTTAAACTATTAGTGTTCTACATTTTCTGAAAGCTCTTTTCAATGGCTACCCAATGGTAATATTAATATTTAGAAAGGCGGCAAAGACAAGGGAGTTACAGACGCGCGAAAGTGACGATCGTTTTTCAAATATCATATTTCATTGTCAAGTAGTGTACCTAAAATTTATGAAAATATTATCAGCTTAGAATTATTCTAGCTTGAATTTCCCTTGATTACTGAGTTGATTCATAACAAAGAACTCAAGTTGATTTTGGAGTCAGCTCTGAAGTCAGCTCAGCTCTAAAGATGACAAAGAGGTGCCTTTCCTTTGTTACCTCTGTCCTCTCAAAAAAATGCTCAATCATTTTCGATTAGACAATCAAAAACCACCTGCACTTTGATCTCTTTCACGTATTGTTTCGTGTTTCCATCGGTTTCCGAAGTCAAATATTTCTCGAGAGCTTTCTTTTGCACGATCGAGCTCCATGTTAAAAAGCCGATCAAGAAGATGTGAAACTAGAAAAGGATTGTTTCAAATTTTTCAAAAACAAAAGGAATCGATTGATTGTCGGGACTCGAATTTCATCTTAAAAACTTTGAAACATTATTTTTTTTTGTTTATAAAAATTGCTTTTTCATGTAAATTTGACGATTTTTGAACTAAAATAATTAGAAATTCAGAATTCAAACCCCAAAAATCGCGCCGAAAACCATCAGGAAACGGGTGAATTTGTTGAATTGGGGCAAGTAGAAAACGAGAGAATTCGGGAGTTTCGTCACCGGCTCGTAGATCGGATAGTTCTGTGAAAGATTGATTGAAGGCTTCATTTCGAAGGCAATTCGATTCAAATTCTTTTCTTTCATTTCTTTTTAAATCCTTTAAACTTTGTTTTACTTTAGAAAATGAAGAAAAAGTGATTTCAGAAATGTTAGTATCGACTTAGCTATTTAGCTGAAATATTCAAATTTCATTTAAAATCTTGAAGTTTCAAGTTCGAGGGCTTCCAGAAAAGTTGTTGATCTCTAGTTTCTAGATCTTTCTACATCAAAAAATAGGTACCTAAACTTTCTAAAAATATTATCAGCTTAGAATTAGTTTTTATTCTAGCTTGAATTTCCCTTGATTACTGAGTTGATTCATAACAAAGAACTCAAGTTGCCACTTTTGCCACAAAGCCACTTTTTGCTACAGAAATTTCCAAATTTCATTTAAAATCTTGAAGTTTCAAGTTCGAGTGCTTTCAGATCTCTAGTTGTTGTTGATCTCTAGTTGATCTCAGATCTCTAGTTGATCTCAGAAGTTGTTGATCTCTAGTTTCTAGATCTTTCTACATCAAAAAATAGGTACCTAAACTTTCTAAAAATATTATCAACTTATAAATTTACAGTTTTTGAAACTTAAGCAATTCTAAACATCAAACAAACTTAAACTTAAACAAATCCAAACAGTCATTTACCTCTGCCAAAAGCTTTTTCTGTTCTTGTTGATTCTCGAAGAGATCGGTGGCGAAAATGCAGAAAATCGGCACCGAAAAGTAGAGAGTCGAGGAGACGGCCATCTGAAATAATGTTTCAAGTTATTCGGGTCTTCGGAGTAAAAGGAAACTTGGTGAGCCTATTCTTCTTCAGGGATTCATTCACCTTTTCCAACTGTTCACTGTATTTGATTGCAAAGGGAAAACCTTTTCGTTTCTTTTCGTACTTTAACAAATTGAACTAACTAATTGAACTACGGTTTATTTCATAAAAAAATTCAATTCTTTTTCTGCAAAATAACATTACGCACAAACCCTGCCTGATATATATCAGGTAGTTTGAGAGCGTAAAGTCGGGTAGTAAAAAAGGAAGGGCTCGATGATGGTGAGGAGACTCGATGATGGTCAGGAGACACAGCTAAGGAACAGAACAGAAAAGGAACACTTTAGCTAAGGAAACCTATCTTCGTGTCAATAGATGAAAGATAAGTTTTGTAGTTTTGTAGTTTTGTATTTTTGTATATAGCCAAAATTTTCAGAGAAATTAATTTAGTCAATTTTTTCGTAGAGGTTTTTTTCCTAGATTTCTACGCGAAACCTGTGTTTTCTCTCGCGAATTTCGGTTATAAGTGAGCAGGTTGGCTTGGCTGTGTTAGGTAGTTGGCTTAAACTTGCAAATTCAACAATAAATACTTTTTATTTAGAGCAAATCATAGGTTAATTGATGAATTTGTTCATTTTCAACGAAAAAGAACGAAAAGATTTTCTGGAGAGAAAATGGACAAAATATCTCTAGACAGCTAGCACCTACTCGCTTCCGGATTTGCTTAATAGTAAGTTTTTTAGTAGGTAGGTTTTTACGTAGGTAGGTTTTTACAGTAGGCTTTTACGCTACCACCGGGGGTATGCCCTTTGTCGAATCGAAAAAGTTGGAACGAAACATTGAAGAAATTTGATCGAAACCTAGCCCCCGATAATGGATTTTTTGATAAAAAATGATCCGCCAGATTGAAACGAAATTGAATGTGCGAAATGTGCTGAAATGAATTGAAATCTAAAGCTAGGAACGAGATAAATGTGTTGTACTAGCTCCAAACTCTCGTACTAACTAACTCGTACTAACTAACTCGTACTAACTCTCGAACCCTGGAATCAATGCTGCATTAAAAATGCACACCTTTAATTGACCCCAAATAATTTGAAACTCGAAAATTTTAACTGTATCCAGAAAGAAAAAGTAAAAGATTGACTTTAGTAAGCTAGGTTTGGGGTTAGTAAAACACATTTATCTCATTCCTAGCTTTAGATTTCAATTCAGCACATTCAATTTCGTAGCTCCTATCAATTTTCTCTAAATATTGAAGGCCAGACATTTTACGCCGAATTGCAAGAAAATAGAAATCATTTTCTATGAAAATTTTCAAAAGAACAAGATTTTTTTTATTATTATTATATGAGAAAAGAAATTAGAATTGTTAAATGTTAGAAAGATTACTTGTTTAGAATCTAATGTAGCGAATAGACACTAAAAAGTTTAAATTAACAACGTGTGAGTGTGGGATTTTCTGTGTAACGATGGCTTTGGATTTGAGTGCTTTTGGAAGGTTTCAATTGAAATTGATTGATATTTAAATGTGTGGCGAATAGCCACTAAAAAGTTATCTAACTCTGGCAGCCTAGAAATTCGAGAAATATTGAGGAAATCGGTGCGCCTTCATTCTATTTCGCGCCCCAAATCATTTATTGTTTTGTAGCTGGTTAGCTGAGTATCTTGGATTAAAGCCTATAGCCTTAAAGCCTTAAAGCCTAACTGTTGTTCATTTGGTTCGGTTATCTTTCATTTTCTTTCTGCTTTCCTCTCATTGTGTGAAATTTGTGTCCGAATTAGGACGAAATTGTTTCTGTTTTTTATCGTCGCTTCTAATTCAATTGTTGATCTTGTGTGGAAATTGCTGTGAAAAGTGAGAGCCCACAGATTCCGAGTCAGTCGACTATTGAATAAAGTGTTTTTAGTTCAAACAAGAAATAACGTGTGAAGAATGAAGAGTACCAAGCACGCGTACAATATTTCTAACATATAACAATATAAATTGAAACCTTCAACTTGGCGGGCAGCTTGCAGAGATGATGATTTGGCAGGATGAGTTGCCATTTGTACAAAACGACGTGGGAAACGCTCGAAAACGAGAGACACATCACCAAAACGGCCATACACTTAAATATCAATATAAAAGAATAAAATAAAGAACGAAATCTCTTTGAAACTTACAAATTGCACCTCAGTCGGGATGCTCAAAGTGGCGAAAAAGCCGGTCGGGCACCCGGCGGGCATCGGCAGAAAAAACACGGGCGCAATGCAAAAACCGAGAAGGAAATCCTGGAGAGTCGCCCATAGCTGTAAAATTTCACTTTTAAACTTTACTTTACTTTCACCTAGATTCAATTAGAGGCAACTCTTTACTTTCATTTTACTCTTTACTTTCAGCGGTTTACTTTAAAACTCAACCCTTTGAAAAGCTCTGGAATTTCCAAGCTTCGTGTTTCAAAATGAACAGGCTGCATGTGAAAGAGTTACCGGGCGGGCATCGGCAGAAAAAAAAACACGCGCAATTGTGAGACATTTGATACGCGCCTCGCCCCCCTTTTCCCATTGAAAATCCAACTTTAAACTCAAATCTCTTCGTGTTGGGCTGTGGAATTAAAATAATTTTTGTACCAATCGATAGAGAAAGACTTGGCGCATCCAATGATACCAAGAATATTTTAATTGAACAGCGCGACACCAAGATATTTGTGCTTAAAGTTAGATTGTCAATGGGCGTATATTATCTTTGAGTTTAATATAGGAAATCTTTTCATATAGGAAATCTTTGAGTTTAATATCAAAACATTCAGAAAAATGCTACCACATTAGCCGTGCTTACTTCCATTTGGAAACCCTCGCTTTGAAACTCGAACTTTTTTTCCTTGTAAAAAAACCTTTTGACTTTACATTTTTGAAAACATTTCCCTGTCTTATATTTAGGAAAATTCTTTGACTTTACAGACAATTAGCAAGCTATTTTCTCGGATAATTATTTCAATCTTATCCTATAACATTGAAAGATTATAAAAATCGTTTTAACAAGAGAAAAACAAAATAAAAAAAATTGAGTTTCAAAATTCGTTGGGTAAAATATGATAGGAAAACTGGAATCTTTGTCCATTTTATTTTTGTTTCTACAGTCCTCGAGTCATTTTCTTCCTAACTTTTAGAACCGTTTTTCTTAAAATTTATTATTGTAAACGAATGTTTCTTCCAAATAAAACACTCAATCCTTTCAAAATTTTATTAAAAAAAATTAAAGTAGCTATGTTGAATTTAAAAGATTTCCTTTGAAATTCACAATTTCTTATAAATAAATTTTAGATTTTGTTTTAAATGCCTTTAATGACTTTTATGGCTTTAATGGCTTTCAGTATTAATGAAATCGATTTTTGTTTACCTGTTTCCCTAATGTTTACCTGTTGATTCGCCACGTGGCATCGAATGGTTTTGAGATGCTCGGGAGTGTATCGAAAAATCACGCACAACCCGAGCAGATTCACCGGGAAACCCAGGCACGAGAAAGCGCTCATCAACTGAAGCATTAGCCTTTTCGGATTTCAATTTCAAATTTCCAAACCCGCAAGTAAAATTTCGGCTGTAGGTTGAAGTCGGAAACGTTGTAGGAAGTGTCCCCGAACATCTACAATTTTCGAATTACTCTCCGCGCATTGCAAAACTAATTCTCGAATTCAATCCAATCAATTTGAAACTAGAAGATTTAAAAAATTGTAAATTCCTATTTGAGTCACTATATCCCCTTTGAACTTATTAAAAAACGAATTCTTAAATAAAAGCCCTTAAGATTGAGACTAGCTCAATGCTCTGCTCAGCGAAATTGTAAAATGAACTTGAAATTTGTTATTTTAGCCAACATAAACCCCAGGAACGCCCGGGTGAAAGGAAATTTAAGGTAATGTGTCCCGTTAGGTGATGTTACCAATATTTCCGCGAGATTCCCTCAAGCTTTCCCGCGACCATCACCTCAGAGAGAAATTGCCTGCGGTAAACGGTAGAAGTTTCCCGCGGAAAATGTGATAATGCTAGCAACTTTACATTTAAATTGTAAACATCTAGAATCTAAATTGTCATTTCCTAAATGGTGCTCAAAACTTACGAGGAAAAGGGCCTTTTGCTAAAAGAATTTTGCGGAAACGTTCTTTCTCTTTGGCTTAGGCACCTAACCCCAACATGAACCCCCAGGGTGTAGAGATTTTAGAAAGATTCATTCATTAATCTTTCATTAATCATTAACTCATTAATCATTAATCTATGCCTAATTTCTCCGTTTATTATTTATTCTTAGTTCTTTATTCTTTTTATTCATTTGATAATTTCAGCTAGTGGAATTCAGCAAGAGAAACTATTGAAGGACTTCGCATCAAGTAACAGCCAGTCCCCCGGTTGATTTCCTGCCGAATTTGCGCGGGAAATGTTTTCGTTTATAAGAATTTCCCCGGGAAACATTTCCCTCTCATTTCCCGGTAGGTGATGGTGAAATTACAGTCGTGTGCAATTACAGAAACGTTTCTCTCCACAATCTTTACGCGGGAAACGTTTCCCGCCAGATGATGGTACGGGCTTTAAAAGCTTAAAATTAAAAAGCTACCGTAAATACTGTAATTAAGTACCCCACCCCATAATGACGGTGCGGAGTGTTGCGTAGTCTAGCTTTGAACGAGTTTTTCTCGACACTGGTTTAAGCTACAATGTGCGCTTTGGTATCAAAAAATAGCTGAAATTCAGGGCTATTTTTTGATACCAAAGCGCACATTGTAGCATAAACCAGTGTCGAGAAACACTCGTTCAAAGCTAGACTACGCAAGCTAGACTTCAAAGCTAGACTACGCAACACTCCGCACCGTCATTATGGGGGTGGGGTACTATTACAGTATTTACGGTAGCCTAAAAAGCTAGTAAATTTGAAACTTGAAAGATTAGGAAGATTTTTGAGTAACAAAAAAGAAATTTCATTTGAGAAAAACTTTTTGTTTTTGTTTTTAAACTTTTTGTTAACTATTTTTGATTGCTAACAATGCCCAGGAAATATTAAAAATCAAATCACAAGGAAAAATCGTTAAATTATTCAAAAATTTATGCGTTTTTCTTTTCAAAAATGTAAACTTTGAAATTATCGTTGAGTAATTCACCTCGCTGTTTATTAGAGAACCAATTCTCGCATTGAGAAGAGATTACATTTAAAACTAGCCCATTGTAAGTTAGAAATTGTCAGAAGTTTTCAAATTACTGCTAACTATTATTAGAAATTCGATGTTATTACAAAGGAAAACTCTTGAATTGAAGCGATCAAATGGGAAAGTGAAACGATTGGAGTTTATGGAGTTTGATTCGATGGAGAATCAATTGAATTCTATGGAGAATCAATTGAATTCGATGGGGAAATGAAAACGATTGGAGTTTAAGGAGTTTGATTCGATCGGGAATCAATTGAATTCGATCGGGAACTGAAATGATTGGAGTTTAAGGAGTTTGCCTCGATCGGGAATCGATTCACAATTGACAGTCAACAGAATTTGTATCAAAAAGAGCCAAATTTAGGCAAGAATTGATCGCAAAAATTTGAGCAAGCTATTCAGCTGTAAATGGGGCTTTTGATGTTATTATTAACTAATAAGAATCGATTCGAGCTAATCATTTTATTGGCATTTTATTGACAATTGAAATACGCGAGAAGAGGGTTAAACTTTTAAAGAAATTTAGTTCGACAAAGACGCTTTGATTAGTTTGAAAAAGATTAGCTTTTCCTGCCCACCTTTGAAACATGAGTTTTTAAATCGAAACAGATTCGTTTCCTAAAAACTTTTACTATGTTTTTAAACGAAAAAGAACAAATCTCAAATAAACTGACACTCAAATAAAGGAAATCTAGTCGATTAAGATGAAACTTGAAACTTGAAACTTCTATCAATACTCAAAATTGTCTTTTTCAGCAATTTCCCAAAGTTACAGTAGTTTTTCGAAAGGAAATTGGCTGAAAAGAAAAAAAAATTGGTCTTTGCCTTTGTGGGAACGGTTTTTTCGTAAGAATGACCAAAGATTTGATCATTTTCAGCAATTAAAGAAGCCAAAGTCGGATACATTTCCATGGAAACAGTCATGGGAAATGTTGATCGAAAAAAATTGAAGTTTCAGATATTTTCCGGTAATTTCTGTTGGCTAAATCAACAATTAGAAAGATTTAAAAAAAGATTTGACGTAATGGAATGGTTGAAATAAACCGTTTTTGATTTTCAAATGTTTCAAAAAAGCGCAGAACCTTGGAAGGCAATTTTACAAAAACAAAAATATTCAAAAATATTACAAAAAATTTGAATCTTGATGACGCAAAAGTTCTTCGACTTTTGATGCCATTTCGACGATATCATTCCGGTGTAGTTTGTGCTCTCTTAACTCTCGTAAACATTCCCTTTCTGGCTGCACTGGGTACTTCAATTTTCCCCCATAACAAAATAAAAAAACTCACTAGCACAGCTGCTGGCCGAAGAATGCGAATAGGGCAATGCTGGCGATGAGAGGGGATCCTCAGGGTGATCGGATCGATCCGACCGAATCGTTTCCTCTTCTTCCTCGCGATCCTCGCGCAAACTCGTTGTACCATTCTGGATTTGCACCCGAAGAGCGTCCGAGGGAACACGACGAGCCTGTAACTTTCAAATTTTCAAAGGCTTCAACTTGGAGGGCATACAAGTTAAATTCTCGTTCTTCAACTTTCACTCCTAACTACGCCTTGTACCAAAAAATGAATTTGAATGAGAGTATTAAATCCCAAGATTATATTACTCATGATCAAGCTAAAAAGTGATCGTTTAGCTTGAAACTAAAGTTGTACCATTCTGGATTTGCACCCGGAGAGCGCCCAATTTTTTCAAAAATATTACAAAAAATTGAATCTTGATAACGCAAAAGTTCTTCGACTTTTTGTCTCTACCATTCCGGTCCAATTTGTGCTCTCTTAACTCCCGTAAACATCCCCTTTCTGGTGCCCTGAATTCTTCAATTTTTCCCCGCATAACAACTGGTGTCACGGGGGGAAATCGAAGAATTGCAGTGCGCCAGAAAGGGGTTGTTTATGAGATTTGCACAGAGAAAAAAGTACATTACATTACGAAGAATCTGATTGAAAAGTGAGCAATTCGATTTAAAATAAAAAGAGCTAAACCTAAAGCAATTTGAAAGCTGGCAAAGTGTTCCTTTATCAACTCGTACAAAACGTATAACATGGCTTTATTTTACTCAATTTTTTAATTGTAAACTTTGATTGAAGCTTTAATTGAAGCTTTAATTGAGCTAAAAGCTAAAAGTAGTCAGTCAGTCTTACAGTAATTAAATAGTCTTTATTGTCTTTTATTAACAAATAACAAAAACTCTCAAGAATACCATTGAAATTCTCGAGTTTCAAAATAATGTATAGCCTTTTAAAGCTCAAAACGACAATTGGCGGACATTTCCTCATGCCACTATTTTGCATTAAAATTTTTACTCAAAAAATTGCCCTCCTTGCAATCACAACTTAAATGAGCTTTTTTGAAACATTGAAAATCGAAAAGGCTTTGTTCCAACTATTTGCGTTCCCTTTTTTAGAGAAAATTTCTAGAGAACTTCCCCATTTCCCTCTAAAACAAAGGTCAAAGTTTCTCAAGAAAAACCGTTAAAATTTAAACCTTTTTTCATTTTTTCTTTATCAGCTGAATCTTATTGCTTTTTTGTGTGAGGGAAATGTGCAAATTTAATAGTTATTTCAGGGAAAATGATTCAAAATGCAAAATTTGATTGGTTGGTCAGGTGTTATCCTTTTCTTGTTATCCAGGTGTTAAAAAAGTGTCAGAAAATCGCGTTTCAAAGAAATGAAAGCATTCAATTTATTGATTTAAATGAATTTAAAATTTAGATGAAAGAGAATCATTTAAATTCAATCAAGAGAATCATTTAAAGAGAAATTTTTTACTTTTAAGCACTAAATTTCTTCTTTTGATACCTCATAAAGAAATCATTTTGCATTTTGGAGGATTTTAATGTTGACCGTTGAATGCTTTCTTTGCTTCTTTGTTGACCGTTGAATGCCGGCTTTCACGTGCTTTCTTTCTTTCTAACTTTTATTTAATCTACAAAAATTTCAGTATGAAAAAATGAAGGGCAAAAAGACAAAATGAATCCAAAAAAAGAAAAAAGATTTCTATGGCAAACCAGTGAGCAAACGCTTCCAAATATACATTCAAAATTTAATTTACAAAACTACATTCATTCAATTTACAAAACTCAAAGAAAAACACTATCAAAATACCGGTATTTTCAAAAGGAATCGGAAAAAAGTGACAAGGTTTTTGGACAAAATCGAATTTAATTCAGTTCAATAAATCAATTCAAATCAAATCAATTCAATTCAATATCAATTCTCCGAGATTTTCGGATGGAAATAGACGAATTTTTGACGAATTTTTAGAAGAATCTCATCTAAAAACCTCAAAACCTCAAAAGTTCAAAGGAAATCAACCAAAATTTTACATAAGATCTATTTTTTTGACTAATTTTCGCGAAAAAAATGTTATTTGAAAAAATTTTGCTTTGTTTTTACGTGAAATTTTTCAAGTTTCAAATTTCCAAAGAATTTCTGGCATTTTGAACTAGCAATCTTGAATCTTGGTGGATTGGTTTTTGTTGTTGTTTCAAAGAAAAATTCAAATTCGCAAAAGAGTAGATGAGTGTTAGATTTAAGAAATTTAACATTTAAAATGATTTTAAAGAATCCTCTAATCAATCCGAAACTCGAAATCAATCAGATTCGACGGTCGGCGATGGTGGAAGGGCTGAGTCGATGGAAGAATGCGAGGAACGCGTCTTCTTTTGACTCACACCTGGAAAATCTCAAAATTTATGTAAAATCTATTCAATTCTTGAGCGTCAAGATGTTCTTTGTGCTCTAAAATTCATTGATATGAATTATCATATCAGTTAAGGGATAATGAAGCTGTCAAAGTTAAAAAAAGGTACTTAAAAAAACCTATGTTTCAAATTAAAGTTAGTCAAAAAACCATTTAGCCTTTTAATGCAATTACAAAGAAAAAAGCAAGATTTTTGACAAAAAACAACTATTTCAATGAACCAGTTTCAACCAATTCAAATATCCCTTCACTGCTTGAGCTAACCATCCAGTCTATTTGCTATTTGCTTCAAAATAAACCTATTCACATAGGCATTCAATCTTTTAAGGAACTTCACTTTGTCAAGCCCTTGAAATTTCCTGGTAACACATTTTCATTACTCAAAACTCACTAGCACAGCTGCTGGCCGAAGAATGCGAATAGGTCAACGCTGGCGATGAGAGGGGATCCTCAGGGTGATCGGATCGATCTGACCGAATCGTTTCCTCTTCTTCCTCGCGATCCTCGCGCAAACTCGTTGTACCATTTTGGATTTGCACCCGGAGAGCGTCCGAGGGAACACGACGAGCCTGTAACTTTCAAATTTTCAAAGGCTTCAACTTGGAGGGCATACAAGTTAAATTCTCGTTCTTCAACTTTCACTCCTAACTACGCCTTGTACCAAAAAATGAATTTGAATGAGAGTATTAAATCCCACGATTATATTACTCATGATCAAGCTAAAAAGTGATCGTTTAGCTTGAAACTAAAGTTTTTTCATTGTACTTTATTGCTCTGAAATCCTTGTAAACACCCCCTTTCTGGCCCACTGAATTCTTCCATTTTTCTCTTGTGACACCTCTTGCTACGAGGGGAAATGAAAGAACTGAGTGCTGCAGAAAGGGAGTGTTTACGAGATTTGAGAGAGCACAAAGTACATGTTGAACTGTTTAATGCTCAAATACAAACTAGCTTTACCTCAGCTCAAGTAGTCTTGATTTCTTTGAAACATTTGAATATTGAAATGATTGTTTGAGGATCAAAGGGTTAATGCAATTACTGTAAAGACGGTTTTACTAATCTAAATTCAAAAAGCGTCTTTCGCATTGAAATAACAAAGTTTCAAAGTTGTTAAAGATGACTATGCTCTTCTTAAATCAATTACCACGACTTGACTTTGGAAATTTTCACCTAAAAAGAGGACTTTTATACATCGAAATTTCAAGAGCAAGTCCTCATCAAATATTCTTTTTATTTTGACATCTTGTTGAGTAGCCAGAATGACATTGTATCACAATTGTAATGTTTCAAAGAAGTCTAGAATCTCTGCTTTTCGCAAATCAATTGGCGCGTTTTACTCATTTCATAAACAATAACAGATTTTAAAAATCTTCAATGCAGTTTTTTTCAACTCACCGGTCTCCGATTGAAGCGATTGCTGGCACGTGGCGGAATGGGAATACGGAGCACGGAGTTTTTCCTCGAAAAGTATTGCGGTGCTTCGTTGTCGACGTAGAGAGTCGTCACCGCTGAGCCCTCACCGTTTCGCGGTTCCTGAAAAATTTTACTTAATTAGTCAAAACGACCGTAATCCACCAGTTTAACGCTTGTTACTAAACATTAGTTATTTAACAGATTAGGATTGTAAGGATTGTTAGGATTGTAAAACTCCTCAAACCCCATTAAAGCCAAGCCATCATTTTTGACCTTAAATAACTTGAAACTTAAATAATTTAAATAGTTCTAAACTTGTCAAAAAGCTTATTTATGAAATTTATTTAGTAAAAGACGCAAAAGAAAGTCGTTTAACTTGAAACTAGTTGCTTATCTTTCTTTCAAATCGGTTAAAACCCGCTCTTTTCTATCGTAATCTTCTCCATTTCTATAAAATGAAACTCTTTCTCTGATCCTACGATACAAAGAATAGCGAAAGATATAAAAAGTAAATAGATTAGACAAAAATAGAGACAAGATTACGGTAGAAAGGAGCATGCTTTAGAAAGCAATGATTCTATTTGAATTTCCCTGACCTCACTCCTCGGTCTCGCCTCCTCTTCATCTTCACTCGAATTCCCGCCAGACAATTTCCGTTCGCTTCTCGCTCGTCTCATTCCCACTTTCAACTCGTTAACCTTATCCGACAATGACACCAATTGTTGCATCAGCGACATATCGTTTTCGAGAAGGGATCTCTGAATTATCCGATCGTATTCCGAGCAAGAGTATTCGCACTACAACTTTAGCTTCTTTTCGATTGATTGGTCGGTTTACTAAAGTAGCAAAAAAAGTCAACATTTTGACTTGTTTAACTAGTTTTTGACTAGGTAATCTAACACTCATCTACTTCCGAATTTTTCTTTGATCAGACTCTGTCTTACCTATTATCATGCTATAGAAAACATTTGAATTCTTAGAAATTTCTTAGAAAAGGGCAATTAAAAATATTCGTGTCAAGTCAAGCAGCTGAAACTTGAAACAAACGAATTTTTTTCCAATCAAAATCTTGCGTATAAACTGTTTTCTAAAAAATACCGTATTTTAGACAAGCTACCGTAATCCGTTCTCCATTTTTTTATTCAATCAACTCAATTTTAGTATCATTCAATAAAGGAAACATAAGGCTCAGTAAATGATATCAAAATCAAGCTGATTAAGAGGAAAACTGATGGATTACGGTAGTTTTGACTGAAATATAATGAGCTTTAGAAAGCCGGCTTATCTCAGAACTATCTTCTATTCATCCCTGGGTACCCTTAGGGTCCAGCGTTGGTTTCCCCCACTCTTTTCACCTGAAAGGGTGTGCCCGTGACTGAGTGACGATGTTTGTGTTTGGGGTGGATGATCCTATATTGAGTGGGGATCATATTTTTGCCCTTTATTCTCGTTGTCCATTTTCTCAACGTCTCTGAGTGGCTGTGAAAGGCGAACATAAAAAGCGCTTTCACCCTCAGCCACACACAAAACAAACATCCCCTCGGGGCTAAAGGAAACTGCGTAAACATGAAATGAGAGTGCAATATTAAAATAAAAGAGTTGAGCAGATGAGTTTTCAGATCAAATCGATGATATAGGATAATTACCGTACTTTAAAGACAGTAGACAGACGAGTACAGTAGCTCATCGAGTACGGTAGCTTTTAGTTTACTAGAGTTACAGTACCCCAGCTGTTGTACTTAAAAAACAGACGAATACGGGAGATGGGGTACTGTAGGACAAGTTGAAGGTAAATCTCTTTTAGTTTATTAGAGAAAAGTTTTAGGTTTCAAATTAAATATATTAGGTTGATGCATAAGTGTTTTTGTTCCTTTTCGTCTGCCGTTTCAAGCCAACAAATGCACGAATTAAACTACGGTTGATTTCATTAGAAAAAGCAATTATTTTTCTGCAAAATAACATTAAAACGGGTTTAAAAATATTGAATGCCTGGATTTTCTTGAGAGTATGAAGTCGGGTAGTCAAAAAGGGCTAACTCGATGATGCGGTTTAGACACCTTAGCTAAAGAAAACCTATCTTCGTGTCAATAGATAAAAGATAGAACACAAAAAGTTAGGTGTATAGCCAAAATTTCAGAGAAATTCATTCAGCCAATTTTTCCGTAGAGTTTTTTATAGATTTTTACGAAAAAGGCGTTTTTCACTCTCGAATTTGCTTCAAAGTGAACCGAAATTCATTTAAAAAGATGCAAATTGAACAAAAAAACACTTTTTTTTATAGAGCAAACTATAGATTAATTGGTGAATTTGTTACTTTTTAACAGAAGTACGAAACAAAACGAAAAGACTTATGCATCAACCTATTAGATAGAATGATTTCTAATGATTCTATTGACAAAAAAAAACACATTTTAAAGCTCTAAAATGAATCTAGCAATTGGTTAATTGGTTAAAAGCAAAGGCAATTGGTTAAAATAAAAAAAAAAAGTGGATAAACCGAAGAAAATATCAATTGAGAAGCTTTTAGTTTCAAAGTTTTGGAAAAAAACTTTAAATTTGTGAGTTTAGAATTAGTTTCTGCTTGATGGATTCATTTTTTTTCGAAAATCTGATAAAAATGAGAGAAATAAAATACATGTTTCAAATTTAAGTAATAAGAAATCCATTGCTGAAGACTTTAATCAACGCTGAAAATAGGAAAATTGTGTCTTGCAATTATTCGAATTAAAATTAAAAATATTAAATCATTTTACTCTTGAATTCCCTCAAAACAAATTCCCCTTGCATCCCTTTGCATTCAAATTTTTCGTGTTCCAAATTGTCGAGGGCATCTGGCGGCAATCGAGAGCCACCTTTTAGCCATCGTTTTTCTCGTTTTTACCCTTTTGCCCTTTTTTTGGGTCAAATCCCGAACATCTGCCTCAATTTTGGTAAAAAAAACCTTCAAAAAGACCCCAAATTTGCATATCTATCGACAATTTCCAATATAATTTCTCTTCTTTTTCTCTAATCTCATTAGATTTTTGCAAAATGTCACGCTAACATTTGTCACGCTATTTTGCGCACCTTTTGAGCCTTTTGAGCTGTTTTGCGCACCTTTTGAGCCTTTTGAGCTGTTTTGCGCACCTTTTGAGCCTTCTGAGCCTTTTTTCAGCCTTTTTTCAGCCTTTTCGACGATTAAAAATAATTGATCGAATATCGAAATTAAAAGAAGAATCAATGCTTTTTGAAACACATCGATGCTTTTAATTTCAACTGAAATCGACGACAGAAGAACAGGACGACTAACTTGAAACTTTACTTAATTACAAGTGAAATCTTAAAACTTAAACCCTCAGCTTTGACCGCTATTAAAGTTGTTTTAAGATGGTATTCAGAGCAGAGCTTTAAAGAGAAACGAGCTTTAAACTTTCAAACAAATAATCTCAAAGAAATTAGCGAGAGAAAAATAAAAAACAAGATGAATAAGCTGGAAAATTTTGTTCCAAATTCCAAAATCACAATGGCATGCGATTTTACTTCATTGATCTGACTAAATCGATTTGCAAAGTGCAAAAGTTGAAACTTGAGTTTTTCATTGTTAAAAACTCGATCAAATGCTAAACTTAAAGCTTTTCAAAACTGGATGACGCCAATGGAAACTTCATTGGTTTTATTGACTAATGATTGCCATTCTTTGACCAAAACCAACTTGAAACTCAGCTTAATTAGAACACTGTTCTTTCTTCACTTTCTTAATAATTATTTTTTTCTTAGCAGCTACCGGAAAAAAATAGAAAAAGAGAAATTTGACAGATTTTTGATTCATTTTTAGGCGAGAACTTTTATAAATCGGTAAAAGAAAATGTCTGCTTTAATTTTTAAAAGCTTTTCAACTCATTATCCTCATTTACAATCGTGTCTTCAGCGTGGACAGCTTCACCGTACTTTCATTTTCTTTTTTTCTAATTCTTCACTTTGAAACTCGAATATTTTAACGCGAAACTTTTTTTTGTGAATAATTTCCAAGTCCCCAATCAACTCCTGGAGATCATGGTTCTCATGGGCACACACACGCACAAAAAAACGCGTCGTTGGAATGCTAGAATCCGGTGGTGTCAATGTCTTTTCTCACCCTCTCCGCAAAATCTTCACTTCTCTCTTGTCTCGAGAATTCTGGAACGGTAGGAGAACTGGGAAAGAGTGGAAAGGATGAAAAGATGTACAGAAAGGGACCAGGGTCCAGGGTGAGGGTTGGGGTAGGGTACAGGGGAAGAGTACAGAGGTTCTAGGGTCTACAATGGGGTACAGGCTAGGGTAGGGTAGGGAAGTGTAGTACAGAGAAGGGGTAGGGCCCAACTAGGGTAGGGTAGGGTCCAACTAGGGTAGGGTAGGGTAGGGTAGGGTCCAATGATTGAAAGCTGAAAGGGATAGAGGTAGGGTACAGGAATACGGGGTATTACGGAGAGTACAGGGTTCAGAGGTCACCCAAGAGCCCAGAGTGGGGGCAAGGGTTGGGGTAGGGGTTGGGGGTAAGGGTTGGAGTAAGGGTAAAGCCTGCACAGGGTAAGAGTCCAGGCTGAACTAGGGAACAGAGGCCCAGGGGTCCCCAAGGTGCGTCACCCGGTGGACCGGACCGGCGGATGACTTTTTCTTGCACTGATCCCCCCTCTTCACCTCTTCTCCGACTACTGCCACCGTTGGGAATCGTAGGGAAAAATCTTGAACAGGCAAAGGAACAAGGAAAGCAAATGTTCAGTAATTTAAAAATGACGAGTTTCAATCTGATGTGTAGGATAGCTTGTGACTTTTCGACAATCACGACATCAATTCTACTTAAAGAATCGTTAAAATTTCAATTTTCTTTAGTTATTCAGCTAATTTATTTTACTTCCCCTTATTGTTGCCTTATTTTTGCCTTTTCCCACCTTTTCTCTATCATTTTTCTATAGGGATTTGCCCACTACCGGATTTGCCAACAGCCACACAGTCTGTAAACAAATAAACACGAGCGAAGATCAACAAACACCATCTTTTCTCACCATTTTCTTCCAAGTTCTGGGTTTTTTTGGTTTTTTTGTCAGTCCAAGACTAACAAATTTTATGAATACAATGTAAAGGATTGCCTGGAAACTAGTTAAACCAAAATTAAAACAAAAAAAAGTGAGTTTCAAAGGAATCGGCTTTTGAGAAGTGATCGAAATGTTAATATTTGTAGACTAAAGTAGAGTCTTTCTGATAATACACATTTCTTGTTCATTCATTGAGCACATACACAAAGAATTTAAGAAAAAAATTTCATTTGACTATTATTTGTTGACTAAAAAAAAGAATGTTTCAATGTTTTTGGATAAAAATTTGAAAGTGACTTTTTAATTGAAAGCAAAAAAAATGAAAAATTGACTAATTGGTTGCTTAAAAAGTTAATGTTTTAAAATCAATTCTTTACAAAAGTTCATTGTGGTTACCGTATTTTCTCTAATAGTAGTGCACCCTGATCGTCGCCTAAATTCCTCGAAATCTCGAGAACCGCTTATCAGAACCTATCGATGTGGGGTCGGAAAATGTAGCTGACGATCAGATCTTGTGGGCGATTTGAGTCTTGAGCTTCTCTGAAAGCTTTGAAACCGTAAAATAGTCATCAACTAGGCTCACCGGGAAATATTAGGGAAATAGATCAGTCTGATCTACTAGCCTAACCTGAAATAATATACCGTCTTCTCTCTAATAGTAGTGTACCCAAAGCTTCGCCTAAATTCCTCGAAATCTCGAGAACCGCTTATCAGAAGCTATCGATGTGGGGTCGGAAAATGTAGCTGACGATCAGATCTTGTGGGGGATTTGAGTCTTGAGCTTCTCTGAAAGCTTTGAAACTGTAAAATAGTCATCAACTCGGCTCGCCGGGGTGCACTACTATTAGAGAAAATACGGTAATACACATCTTTTTTCATTGCAATCAAGCTGAATAAGTAAAGCAATCCGATAACTTTATCGAATTACTTTAATTATTCAGCTTGATCGAATTTCTTCAGAATTTGAAGAGTTTGAAAGATATTCAGTCAAGGACACTGTAGACGATGAACAGGGAATTGCAGAATCTTCAAGAAAAACCAATTCAAAAGACAATTTTTAATTAAATCTAGATTAAAATGATTTTTTTAATCTTTTAATGCATCGCTAGTGAATGAAAGTATTAATGTTTCAAAGCATTTAAGTTTAATTTCATTTTGAATTGAGTAGTATTATGATTTTCAATTTTTCAATTTACTTTTACCTTAATTAAGTTATTTTTTTCATACAATGAAGTAATCAACTAAAACAATTTTGAGTTTAGTAGTTCGTTTTTCCCATTTCCCCATGAAAATAATTGCCTTGTTTGAAGGAATCCCGCTCACCTATCAGCTTCTTTCTGATTTGTCTCAGCGAATCATAAAATTCAGATGTTTTTTGACAGGGAAATTTCCCATTTCCCGAATCATATGACCCTTCAGAAGCCGCTTATCTAAACGTTTCTGTTGCGATTTTCCACCGAACACTGGTCGGTTTTCGAATTGTTTCACATCCAAGAAAAAGTTTTTGAGTAAACAAGCTGAGAAATTCGTTTGAACAATCGAATACTACAAGAATCTAGATGATTTTTGTAGCGAAATGGAAATTAAAGTTTCAAAGTAAAGGATCCTAGTCTTGGCTTTAGCATGATAATCTTGAAAAGATGAGAATGTACTTTGTACTCTCTCAAATCCTGTGAACACACAATTCCTGGCAGCAACTGTTTGGTGTTACGAGGGGAAATGGAAGAATTGAGTACGCCAGAAAGGGGGTGTTTACGGGATTCAAAGAGGGCACAAAGAACACGTCAATGGCCAGCTGTAAGTCCAGAATAGTGCCCACAATTTGTCGACACAATTGTCTTTACGAACTAAGCCTCGAACAAGAATTTTGTTCTTTATTTTCCAGAACATTGATTGGTCCTAATGCTTTTGATTAACTTGACCAAAAGTTGAAACTCAATTATTTACTTTCTCAACTTTGTAACTTTTTTTTCGTTTTTCTACAGAATAATTGATTAACCATTTCCCAGCAAGTCCCCCAACAAATTTGAAACTCATAAGTCTATCGATGAATATTTAATCCATCTAGTCCCTTCACTTCTCATCAATGCCGATCGGAGCGCCTCCGGGTAAACAAAACACACACGCAATGCGCCACTTTTATGCCTTTCTTTCGCATTTTCCTTTCAAAACTTTCCGGTTTTCATAAGATCTTTAAGACGCACGCCTCTGGGTACTCAAATACCCGAAAATCACACCTGATTTGTCGCCTTATCGAAGCAATATTGAGGTGTTAGAGAATTGCGTAATTTGGTCACATGGGCACAATTGGGCACAAATGTAATCTTTGACATTGAGTAGATTTTACAGAACTTTCAAATGCTTTAAAAACTGTGTGTCATGGCACTTTTTGAGTATTTTCTTCTAAAAAAAGTTAAACTAACGAATTTTATGAAAATGGGAAAAATCATGTTTCAATTTTATCTTCATTAGGAAAAGATCTCCGGATTAATGGAAAAGTCAAAGATCAGATCGGGCTTAAGTTGAAACTTGGTTTTTTATTTTTCATTTTGTATTACGTTTTGTGTTTCAAAGAAAAAAAATGGATGACGTTATTTCAAAGTGCATATTTTGGTTAAAAAGTTGAAACACAATTTCTTTGCGCCCCCTCCGACAGCTGCTGGCTTGACAAAGATCCGAATTTCCCCCATTAACGGTCATAATCGACCTTGTCGTTGTCACTTTTCCTCAAATTCACTCAAAAGAAAAGATTTTTAGCGGAAAAGGCATTCTTCTTAATAATCAGCTTGTGGCATTTCTCTTTTTGAAATTCTTTTTCGTTCGGGGTGTGACCGCTTTCCTTTTCTCTCTCTCTCTTCCTCTTTCTCTCCCTCTCTCTCTTTCCCTTGTTTCAAATTTCCCCCATTCCTTTCTCCTTTCTAATCACTCCTCATTTTCACTCATCATCAGCTAAGAAAGGCACTGATTTGATGTCTTTTTTTCTCCTTTTTCCGACTCTTCAATGGGAAATTGATGTGATTGGACTTGACATAAAGCTGGGTGGAAGTTCTAAAGAGTTGATAGTTGAGAAAGGGTTGATAGTTGATAAAGGCAGATGGATGCATTGTGACTCAATTGTGAATGAGTTCAAGTTGTAAACCAATGCGAATTGTGATTAAAACTAAGTATCTCAAAAATCCCCAATACGCTGAATAAAGGACTGATTCAAAAATAAATGTTTCAACTTTGAACATATGATGCGAATGCAAATTTACTTAATAAAACACAAAAAAAACCCCAAAGTCTCTTCTTAAAAAATCACCTATTTGTTCAGTAAAAGAAATTAAAGTTAGTTATTGAAAGGGTAATTCTAAGGGAATAGCTAATTCTAAATAGTTTGGAATGACTTGGCACGACTTTTTACAAAATCTATTACACTAAAAGAACCCTCGACTATTTGCCACGATCTCCTCAAGAAACTTTATTAAAACCGAAACTCAACTTTCAACCTCTCAATTTTTGAAACTTTATTTCAAAAATCTCTTTAAGAAACGGTTTTCCTGTCATTTTCCGAAGCCAAAACGATTAGAAAACACTTTTTTGCAAATTTATCAGTGATTTCGCAGGATTTTTAGAAGAAATTCAACTCCTGACCCACAATTTTCCCAGGGTTAATCCGCTTATTTCTGAACGAACTACGGATAATGAAAAAAATGTCAAAAAAATTGAAAATTCGAACGAATTTTTGGTGACACTTATCATCAAAAAATAAACCGATTTCCGGGGCAAAGTTTTGTTTTTCTTAAGTAATTTTGAAACTTGAGTTTTTAAAAATAACAAAAACAACAGATTAAGCTAAAGAATGACCTCATTTGATTGGATTTAAATCAAAAAATCATCAAAGACAAAATGAAACGACAATCAACGACAAAACAACGACTTTCTCGAGACTCATCGATCCGATCTTCCCTCATTTAAGCTCATTTAAAAGCCCGAAATGTGCTCTTTTAAAAGCTATCAAAAATAAACAACTATTAGAGCTTTTAGAGCCTCTAAAAGAACAACGAGGCCATTTTACACCCATTCAAAAGTCCCCCTAAACTACCCAAGGACTATTTGTGTGAATTTTTAGTTTTTTTTCTACCTTTTCCTACTATTCCGTCTCTTTCCCAATACGGAAACTAAAAAGACTAAAAATTTTACGAGTTCTCCCTAAAAAAACCTTTTTTTTCTCAGCCAAACTTTTCCCTTTGATAAAATGGTCGTAACTGGAGTTTGTTTGGAAAAAAAAACTTTCTCTTTCAAAAAAAAAAACATTTAAGAGTTCGTAGTGACCAGTCAGCAAAAGCTGATTCATAAAGGATTTTTTTTTTTTAAATTGTCTTCAGCAAGAAAGATACGAGTTTTTTGAGATAAATATTTGTGAGAAATGAAAAATTTGCATCGATTTGAGATAAAGAATTGTTTTGTTTTGGGGAAACTTTGAAAACAAAAAGCTTTAGGTGAGTTTGATTAAGGTAAAGGTTTGAGCTGACTTCGATAAGCCTTTGAAAACTGAACTAAAAGCTAAAACTGAGCTAAAACGGTGCTTTTCAATTGAATGCAAATCTAAGAGTCATTAAAAAATTAGACAAGTCAGGTAGTTGTTTAAATTGAAACTTGCGACTCAATTTGAGAATTGTGAGCAAAAAAATTGCATTTTTCAACGAAATCAGTATCTTTTTAAGCAGTACGCCAGAAAGCATGTGTTTACGAAAGTTTTGAAAGCTCAAAGTACCCCTGAAGACATTTTACTCAAATGATTGTGCGACTTTAAAGCTTCACTGGCAGAAAATTTGACAAATCAAGCTCTACAGAACGATTTCAACAGAACCAACCAATCAATAGCCAAATAAAACGCTTTAAATAAGTAAATCCACCAACCATTTTCTCGTGTAGAACCTCGAAAACGGCATTTGATGAGGCTGGGGACAATAAATCGGTCATCGAGGTGGAGTTGAGACCGAATTCAGGCACTCGTCCCTGGTAGCTCATCAGCTGAAAAAAATTGGGTTTCAAAGTTAATTGAATGAAAATGCAAAAAAAAATTTCAGTTGAGTAGGATCTCGCTCTTCATAAAACCTACTTTCCAGGCCAGCTAAGGCTTTAGACCAGATCCAAAAGTGACATTGAAATTCTAGGCCAATTCCAATTGAAAGTCATTGATTTTAGCTTAGATAGACTTTTTAAAACAGCCCTAGATCTGGCTAGAATTTTCAAATGATTGTGAAAAATTGTGTTTCAAAATATGTGAAGATAGATGCTATAGTCGGTCTTTAGTACAATCGGTCTGAATTGTTAATTTGTTAATTGACATTGGTGATTTGTTTGAACTTTAATTAATCTTTTTATTCTAAATTTCTCACCAAATTCTCCCCGGCGTTCTCCTCGTCAAGACTGCAGAAACTTTTCGCTTTTTTGTATCTGAAAATCTCTATTATTCGATATTATTCGATAAAATTCGATTTTAGAAGGTTTTGTTTCAAGTTTTTCAGTTAAAGTAAGGGTTTCTCTGGGTTAATGCGCCTGGTTCTAGTGACGAAAAAATCTACTTACAAAAATAAAACGTAATTCGAATGCTTTCAAGCTCTATTTCTCGTTTACAACGACATTTTTAGCTCAGAAATTTTTGTGTTTCAATTGATTTTTCAATTTATTGTTTCAATTTCAATTTATTTCAATTTTAGAGTTTTCTCTCGATTAATGATCGCTTGTAAAAGCAAATGTTAGACAAAAGCTAAAAACAAACCGCTCGAGACGTCGTAGCCGATTCGCGCAAAGCATTCGGCACATTTGCAATTCGTCAAATTGGGCACTCATTTTTTTGTTTCGTTGGCTTTCTGGAAATTAATTGCAAAATGCTTTAAAGTTTCAAATTGAGAAGAAAACAAACAAATGAGACACTGAAATGAACAAAAAAACAACAAACAAATGAACAAACATTTTTGAAAACAAATAAGAAAGAGTTAATGAAAAAGGAAAGAAAGATAAAGTCTGGCCTTTTAGTCTGAGCATTTAGCATTGATTTCAATTTTGCTTTGGCTACCATAAATGGCTGTGTAATATGAAAGCTTAGGTGAATATTCGGATTTGGATATAAAAAAATTAGACTTACTAGGTCTTTCAAAGATCCTCTAAAGCTCAAGTAGCATGTCTACATTCTAAAAAATATGCAAGCAATAAAGAAGAACATCTTTGACAAGAGAAAAGCTTCAAAATATACATTCAGTTAGGCTTTTGGTGTTGTTACAGAAAAAAAATGGCACTCGTTGAGCTCATTTGACTAAGCTCAGGCTTAGGCTCAGGATCAGGCTTAGGCTCAGGCTTAGGCTCAGGCTTAGGCTTAGAGCTGTAAAATTTCAAGTACTTTAGATCTTAGATTTGAATTTTAGGTTAGATCTATGTATCTAAAAATCCAATTCAAAACTAACAATGAGGGTTGAAATTCTTGTGATGAAATTATTTGAGTTTCAAAGTGTTTGAGGTGTCACGAGGAGGGTTTGAAGCAATGTGTCGAAGAGTAAGACAATTTTCATAATTTAAACATTCAAGATATCTTTAGATTAGCTATACAGTCAATATAACGGATCGCTCGGCATCGAAAACTTCGAGATAACGAACCTAGAACGTGCCTCAAATTTTCTGCGTAGCTGTCCTGGTCGAGCGCTGATTTCATTTGGCTGAGGCAGATGCGCAGAAATTTTGTGCACGTTTTAGAATTTCAAATTCGTTATATTAGAAGAGAATCGAATTGGATAATTTTTATAGCTTTCAAATTTTATATATTATGTCGAACCAGCGTCGAATCAAAGTCGAGCCGAACCAAACTCGAATCAAACCAAACTCGAATCAAACCAAACTCGAATCAAACCAAAGTCGAGCCGAACCAAAGGGAATCAAACTAAAGTCGAATCAAACCAAAGTCGAGTCGAACCAAAGTCGAATCCGAGAAGCGTTTTGAAGTAATGTCTCGAAGAATAAGACAATCTTCATACTTTAAACTTTTTGATAGTCAAAAATTCTCACTTTTTCAACCAAAACAAAAAAAACCAATGTGAAACTTTGTGGGTTTCAAAGCTTTCAAATAGAAATACAAATCCGGCATGGTAATGGTGGTAGTCTTTTTCACCATCAATTTTTTTTTAAAAAACCACCTAAAATTTTGTCCGTTTTTTTGAGCATTTTAAAGTGATAATCCAGTCTGTTTTGAGGGAAATTTCCCCTCATTTACCTCATTTCCTCTCACTCCATTTTGGCCTTTCCCCTTTCCCCTCCCCTTTCCCCTCCCTTTCCCCTCCCTTTCCCCTTCCCCTTCTGCACAACAACGGATTTGACCTTGTTACCCATATAATAACAATGCGCGAAACTCCCCCCAATGAATGCATATGTTTTTCGAGGGGAAATGAAGAACGGAAAAAGAGAAACGGAGAAAATGACCGAGTTTCTTTTGCCGAAAAAACGAATTTCTCTAAAAAAAACGAAATTTAGATGAAAGACTGAAGCCTGCCTGATAGATGAACAATCAGATAAATTAAATTTTAAAAAATGGCTCATGATGGCTCAAGATGGCTTCCAAAAGCTACTTTTAAAAGTTTAAAAACTCATTTTGATTAAAGTGACAGAATCAGAAAAAGTCTGTTTCAACTTTTGCCAACTTCAAAGCCGGTATTTGGGTTACAATTCAAACCAAAAGAAGTTATCTGAAAAAAATGCTGGAACCAAAAGGAGTTATCTTTCTTCGTTCAAAAATTTGACTTCAATTTTTATTTCTTCAAATAATTTTCGAGTCATCTAATTGAAATGTTTGAATTGAAGGATGCTGAACGAAAAATCCTTTCCAAAAAAAGGAAAGTTTCAAATTTGAGCTCTTTAAAGCGCTTGTTTCGATTACAGTTGACTCGATTTGATCTTCATTTCACTCCAATAACCTTTCTTTTAACTGGCGAAACAAGGCAAACCCCTTTTCAGAAAAGAATTTCGTTTCAATTTCTCTATTTCCAACGTCTTTCCATTGCAACTAGTGAAAGAATATCACTTTGAATGATTGCTTCAAAGAAAACAAAGAAATTGTGAAAATTGCTTCTGAAAATTGATTGTTTCAAGTTGGAAGTTCAAAACGACTTTCAAAGCGTTTCTATCACACAAAAAAGATAAGCAGCTTCTAAAATCTACGAAAATTTGAGTTCAATTTTCAATTTTAAACATAAAAACGGCTTTTATTTGGAAGAATTTGGTTTGATTGAAGCTAAATGATAGAGAATTGACGTGTTTCAACGTTTCAACGTTCCAAAGTTTCAGTTTGAACGTCTAAAACTATTCTACAATAATTTTTAGCGTATTTCGAATAGTTTCTATTGGTTTTTAATTCGAAAACAATTTCATTTAAGATCGAAAATTTGTCAAGTTTCAAGTTTTCAAGTATCCCAAGTACAATTTTCAAGCAAGTTGCAAGATATTCGTGATCCCCGAATTACAATCCTCAAATATCGGAAAAATTCATGGAAATAGCTTGAAGCTTGAAATAGCTTGAAAAGCTCAAAAAAATCAGCTGTAAATTAGCGCGAAAACTGGATTATTTCATTGGGAAAAGACTGAAAATCGGTAAAAATTTCGAGAAGAAAAAAAAAATCCGAAAAAATTCGAGGAGATTTCGAGAGAATCTGAGAAAAAGGTTATAAGGAGAAAATTTTTTCGGAGATTTTCCCAACCGATATGGATATAGCTCGATGGATATAGCCTTAATCCAGCTAAAGCTCGTAAATTAGCATTCACAAATGGAAATTTTTAGCAAATTTTCGCGTTTTTTTAAGAAAAAAGCTTAAAAACACAAAAGAATTCCAAAAATTTTAATTGATTTGAACGATTAAAAAGTTATGTTTCAAAGAAAATCATATTTAAATGGGTTTTTAAAACCCAGTCATTAGGTTTGTCGAAACACAAAGTATAATGAAAGTGATTGTTTTCAACTTCTGAAATAGTTTTAACGTTTCTCAGTTTGAGTAGAAGTAGAAGAAGTGGAAGAAGTAGAAGAAGTAGAAGAAGTAGAAGAACTAGAAGAAGTAGAAGAAGTAGAAGAAGTAGAAGAAGTAGAAGAAAAAGAACGAAACTGAAAGCTAGCTTGAAAGCGTTTCAATTTGAATGAAGGATTTTCATCTTCCACATTGTTTTCTCATTCAAATTCTCTAGTGTTTAGACGGTTGAGAAAAGCAAGTTTCAATTGAAATAAAGACTAAAATGGGTTACGGCTCGGAATTGCAATATTATTATATGTTCTTATTATTGTTGTTTGTTATTGTTAAACATTGCTAAACATGCAATATTGTTCTATTGCAATATTGTTTCAATAGTTGAAAAAAAAGTGAATTTTACTATATGCTTAATTTTTGATTTTAAAAGTTAACTTTTAAAAGTTAACGTTTCAAAGTTAAGTGCAATTAATTTATGTCTAGAAACTCAATTATACTGTTGTAGCGTTTGTTAGTACGATTTCGGTGAAAACGGCTGAAAAATGAGGAAATTAGGCTCATTTGTTTGGAAAGCATCGGAAAGCATCGAAGGCAGCTGTAATCAATGCGCAAAATCAAAAGCAGATTCAGAAGAAAAGCTAGATTTATATAAAAAACTAAGAAAATCGTTTAAACGGGTGCAGTTTACTGCAGAAGACTGAATTTAGGGAAAGTGAATCAGTTTTGAAATCGATGTTTCAAATTGGATGCTTTGAAGTGAATGCAGTTTTGATTAATAAAAAGAAAAAAGCTCAATAAAAATAAATTTAATATTTCACAGACTATGGAAAAAATGATTCTAACGGTTACAAAACTTTATGAGATTTTAAAATGACATTGTTTCTTTGATTGTTTGCTGTTGAAATGGGTAAGCCGTTTTTTTTGGAATAGATGTTTCAATGATTAAGGGAGTCAAGCGGATGATGACCAAATCAATAAATACTAAATTTGACCTAATGAAAAGGTTTGTTCCTCGTGTTTTATCGAATTGTTTTTCTTCGTTTCAAATGTTAGTTTCAAAATTAACATTGCTAGTGAGCTAGGGTCAGCTTTATTTGTATCATAAAGTATTTTGGATATTCATTTGTCTCAATTCGGTTTTTCTTGATTTTCTTGAGTGAAAAAAAGAAGCTTTCAAATAAGAGAAATTTCCATGTTTCAACTTAAACAAAGAATAGCGAAAAATCGATAGTCAATAAAGCAGTAAAATAAAGATATATTCAAATAGATTCTAACAATAAATCATTAGTCAATATCGATCGAATCTTCAATTTTGAGTAGCCGGAACGGTTACTGAATGGAAAAGGGGGAAAGATGATACTCTAAGCGGATCTTTTTCTTCTTTTTTCTTTATTTGGTGTAGATCGTTGTTGGGGGAAAGGGGTTGGCAGATGGCCCCAAATAGGGCGCACAAATAGACTCAAATAAAGACCCGACCAAATGCTGGGACTGGTTTGGGGGAATCTCTGGTGAATGAATCACCTCTAGCCATTCGTGTACTTTGCGCTCTCTCAAATCCCATGAACACCTTTCTGGCGCACTTAATTCTTCCATTTTCACCTCAAAAATGAATGAAAGAATTGCAGTGCGCCAGAAAGGGGATGTTTACGAGATTTGAGAGATTACAAAGATTGACGATGATTAGCGTAAAGCTAAAAGCTAAAAGATTGTTCAAGTTGAAACTTGAATTTCCTCATTCACTAAGATGTACTTTTTGCTCTTAAAAGCTGTAAACATCACCTTTCTATGGCATTGGTTATGTCTAGAAATACTAGTTGGAATTGGGTTTGGTTTTCTTTGAACCCAAACTGCAAT